TTTCAGACCTGTACCCATTAAGAGAGACAAAGTGACAGTGATCAGTGAGGTAAGATTTGAACCATTTGAGAGCAGTGTCAGAAACTCCAAACACAGTCTCAAGATGAGAAAGTAAGATGTTATGGTCAACAGTGTCGAAAGCAGCACTGAGATCAAGAAGGATGAGTATAGAAAGAGAACCAGAATCAGAAGCTATTAGAAGATCGTTAGTGACTTTGACCAGGGCAGTTTCTGTGCTGTGAAGTTGACGGACGCCAGATTGGAGGGGTTCAAAAAGGTTGTTTGTCATGAGGTGGTTATTTAACTGAAGTGTGACAGCACGTTCTAGAGTTTTTGTAAGAAAGGGAAAGTTGGAGATGGGGCGAAAATTGTTAATTGTCGAGAGCCATGTTAGGCTTTTTTGGCATGGGGGTAATGGCAGCAGTTTTGAGGACCGTTGGTACAATGCCAGTGCTCATGGATTCATGTATAATATTGAGGACAATGGGACAGAGAGAAGAGAAACAGGACTGAAGTAAAGTGGTCGGAATGGGATCTAAAAGTGGTGGGTTTCATGCGTTTAACTAATTTATTGAGGGATGCTGAGTCAAGAAAGAGAAGCTGGAGAGAAGGGAACCAGAGAAGTTAGATGAGGAGGGAGGAGGTGTGGAAATGTGTAGTGGAAAGAATGTGATGCCGGATGTTGTCAATCCTAGAACTAAAGAAATCTAGTGTTGCAATGTTGTGATGAGGCAGGTAATGTGGTGGGGCGGTTTGGTTTGAGCAGTCTGTTGATGGTGGAGAAAAGATGTCTGGGGTTGTTTTGGTGATTTTCAATGATGTGAGAGAAGTAGGTGGATCTAGCAGACTCTATAGTAACCTTATATTCAGACAAGTAATCTCTCCAAGCCTGATAATGTACATTTTAGGCCAGAAAGACGCCACCTATGAAATTTAGAGCGTGGGGGGGAAGTGTTAGAAACAGGTAATTCCAGATTGAAAAGAATGGCTAAGTGGTGTCAGAGAGGCCTAGATCAAGGGGAGAGCAGTGGGAGACAAAAGAGTCATTTGCAATAATTAAATCTAAGGTGTGTCCTTTGTTTTGTGGAGGGGTACAAACAAACTGAGTAAGATCAAAGCATCCCAATAGAGAAAGGAAGTCTTTAGCCAGACTGGAAGATCTTGAATCGATGTGTATATTAAAGTCCCCTAGAATAAGGATCCTTTTAAACTCAAGGCATAAAAATGAGAGAAAATTAGCAAACTCACCTAAGAAGGCTTCACTGGGTTTGGGCGATCTATAAACTGTGGCAATAATAGTAGATTGGGGGATAGAAACATTTAAAACAAGACACTCAAAAGAAGAGGTAGGAGGTATAGTAATAGGACTTAGACTGTAAAAAAGGGTGTAAATAACAAGTATGCCCCCGCCTCTGCCTGAAAGACGCGGAAGGTCAAACAAACTATATCCAGGAGAGACTAGTTGGTTTAACAGAAGTCCATCGTTTTGTTTATTAACCAGCTCTCAAACCTAACTAATGCATTACTTTGAATGCTTACTGCCTACAATTTGAGAATTAATATTTTAAAATAAACTTTATCAAAAGTAAGACCTCATTAAGAATTTTGAGTACAAATGTGTTCATTAAGTTACAAAAATGTTGGTAATCAGTCTAAAAAAGAGCTGATACATTCCATGTCTTAAAGAATTATCCCATAATAAAATAACTGAACCTTTTTAGTTTTGAACCTAGAACACTACAAGGGAGCCTAATTCAAGTATTCAAAATGTCAAAGGCATTGATGAAGTTAACTCACTTTTTACACAAAAGTTTGTGGGACTGTGGAGCAAGCTATCCAGAATTGTTGTTAAAGTCAATGCAGCTAAATGAAATACTTGGATCATTTAGATATTGACACATACATACTGACACTAGGGCTATTTTTTCCTAAAAGCCAATTAACCTATTGGTATAGGTTACAAGTGGGTACAGTTATGTAACTGTATAGTTACAAGCTGGGCGAGGGGAAACTGGAGCCCTTCAAGAAAAAACAAGTGAACACAGGGAAAACATCTAAACTCCCTGCAGATAGCACCCCAGGGCCCTAGCACTTAAAGGCAGAAATGCTTACCACTGTTCCACCATGCCATACACACGTATTATGTTACTTAATAAATGCACAAAGTTTGTGTATTTCTGTGATGTAAAATGTTAGCCTTTTGCTTAATTTTAAGTATGGTTTATTCATATGCATTTGTTCAATGAAATGCTTTTTAGTGTAGTAAATTTTAAGTCTTTCTTAATTGTTGTTTAAAGGTATTATTTTTTCAATTAGATGCAATTAATCATCATAATTACATTTTCTGTTTCAGTTAAGTCCACGATTTTGTATTGATTTGTTAATTACTTAAATAAATCCAACTTTATTACGAGAAGCATAATGCAAGAAACAGAAACTGCAAAATTGCTACAGTATGTGACTGTGATGTAGTTGGAATCACAGAAACATTATACATAGTGACTGTGTATAATAGAGCATTAGTGGATATTCACTCTTGTTGAAGTGGAAGTGTAGCACTATATATTAAAATAAGCATTCTGGCATAGGAACGTAATCAAAGTGATGACCAACATTGTATCCAATTTTTCAGATTAAGTCTTTGTGCAATTGTAGCAGAACACCTATTGATTTATATTTTTCAATTTTAACTATACATTGTGATAGATATTTTTATTATTGCCTCAGAGTTACCTGAAAATATAAATTATATTTTGCAAGAACTACTGAGCACCTCTGAATTGAAAATTATATTAGCAAATAAAGTTTATCTGAACTCTTGTGAATTACTGACCTATGACACAGGGAACTGCAAACTGTTTAAATATATTTTAATAGTGTGACTTTTTTACACTTTGAAAATGTCAGTTACAGTACATGATCAAGGTATATAATAACACTTTGTACAGCCATATGGAGCACTTGGTATTCTCTGAATATCTGTTAAGTATCATTTGAGATACAGACAGCAACATGTTATCCAAGCTTTGGGAAATAGAAGTGGACATTTTACTTTATATGGAGCTTCACAAATTACTAAAACATGCAAAGATTAGGATCTTAACTCTGCCCGATTGCAGTGCATAGCAAGTGACAGGCAGATTTTAAACTAAGACAGCAGTTTAAAAGTCAGGGATTACATCATGAATAAAACTGTAGAATCAATAAATAGATAATAACCACTATCACAAGAGATGATGTTATGATAAACTATGTGTTAATTTCCATGACATTTCTAAAAAATGAATTACTGTAACCCAGATCAATGTAGACAGAAAACAAATGTTTTAACCAGCTCTAGATTTTTAGTTAAGTTTATTGGACTAACAATTAGTGTATAGTTTGAATCTGGAAGCTCTCCTGTCAGATTTGTTTCAGGATTTGATATTGAGTATGAGTAAAAAATGGACAAATTCCTACAGATGCAGCCATTCAAACTGCACGGTACAAACCCGTGCCGCATGCAACTACCCACAACCCACCGCGGCATACCGCGGTATGTGATTGGCTGGCCAAAATGACCGACAGGGCACTCATGGTGCCTTGGTCAGTAGTGAAAGATTTAATCATTTAACCTCTTTACTGTGCACATTTTAATCCGCTTAGTATTGGATATTAGAATTTTAGAACTAAAGGGAAATCTTACTAGCTGAGCATAAAAAGAAGAGGAGCATAACGCATCTGAAGGTCACAAATGATATTAATTTAGGAACATAAACATATTATGTAAACTGTATATTGTTGGTATTGGTAGTTTAAAGAAAAAATACACACCAGTATTCCATTTCTCCCTACACATTTTAAGCATCAAAGTCTTTTTACGTGCTCCTTCTGACCATATTACGTTTGTATACTTTGTGAGAAAAGTGATATAGGTACCATATGTAGAAGAAAATGGCAGTAGAATGTCTTTCAATTAATTGTAAATTAAAGAAGAAGAGTGTTGGTAATTACTAATTCACTTAGATGCCAAAAGAAGTGTTTCTTCAAATGTTTTCACAGAAGAACAAGTACTCAAAACTTTTCAAACAGTAACATTAATCCATGAAAGATTAGCAGGCTACCGAATTTACAATGCTCATTTTAAAAGTCTTTTATGAAACTTTACATGACACTTACCTGGTACTTGAAAACACTTTTATTATTAATTATTATATTATTTATTTTACATGTACTTGGGTATGTTACAGCATTAATTTCAGATTTCAGTATTTTATATATGTTGTAAAACACTAACTGTTCAGAACCAGTGCTGAAAAAGAGAAATCCTTTCCAAAACAATAGTTATATATCTTCTGTTTTTATATTCACGTTCCCAATAATTGAAGGTATTGCAACAATTTATTGACAAATTCTCTGATATACTTTTGAATTAAACACATTTCTAACACAGAAACCATGTACAGTGCTACAGAAACCAACAAAGTGGGATGCGAATTTGCAATGATGGAGTAATTAAATAAGATGATTAATGTTATACAAATGGATGACTCTTAAAATATTACAGTAAAAAATAATTTCAAAGAATAATGTAGCAATCATACCATTTGACCAAGGACTGAAATCTTCTTTTCCGACAGGTGCAAAGGTAAGTAGCTGGCACAAACAACCATCTGTGGCACTTGCGGTGATACACAACCTAAATTATAATAATAAATGTCATATTAATTATATAACCCCATTATTTTTCATGAAAGTGCTTAAACTTTTTAACAAATATACACTGCAATATTTGACAAATGAAAGCAGATCGGGGAAAAAGAGTCATTTTCAGTCTTTAAAGGAAATCACATTAGAATATAGAAAGGTTATAGTTTATCTGGTTGCTGATCACTAATTGATCCAAAAATCCCATCCAGGCATCCTGGGTATCAGTTATGAAAACCTGAATGGGTAGTGTGTTACAGATTGTCACAAAAAAAACTTTATGTAAAAAAGCCTTATTTTTCAGTTTTAAATGCATTTTTCCATAGTTTTTCGCAAGTGCCATTTGGTTTATGTCTTAAAGTTGACTTGGAAAAAGCCCATTAGTTTAACTTTGCCAAAGCCTTTGAGGATTTTGAATACTTGAATCAGATCCCCTTATAGTCTTAACAGTTCAAGACTAAAAAAATTCAGTTCTTTTAGTCTGTTAGCATATGATTTTATTTTAATCAGGTGATGTACCTAGTTGCTCCTTTCTGGACCCCAGAGTAGCAATATCTTGTAATATTGCAACAAAAATTGTACACAATATTCTAAATTTAAATCAATTTTAACTTGATTTAAATATACATGTATTTTATTAAGGGTCAACATACTATAAACACATACATCTTTCATACATTTCTTTGTCAAGAAAAGACTGAATTTATCATCCAATCTGTGAAATACCAGATTATGATAAATATATTTCTATCATGATATCCTTGTTTAATTGAAATAACCTAATGAGATTATATCTACCAATTCAATGTTTGTTGAGATGCAATGGTATATGAAGTAGATAAAAATATTTAAGAAATCAGAATACTGTATGACAAATTATAAGTGAACCTCTAGATTATTTGGCACAATTAATTAGAATTGGGTCATTAAATAACTTTATAAACAAGGACTGAGTTTGGGCTACACTTTCCTGCAGTATATACAGAAACTGTCAGAAGCCTTGTGAGTTTGGTATTCAACATACAGGGTAGTGGTCATACATCGCAGATATCTAAGGATCTCCAGGCTTATGTCGATGCACCTAATGTCATGTTCATACAGTACCTCAATCATTGGGAAATGACTGAACAGGAATGGTTTTCATGAAAGAAGAGCCAGAAAGAATCCATTGCTCTCTAACAAAAACTTTGCAGCCGTACACATTCATACAAAGATATTTACTTTAGGATCATTTTATTAATTATGTTATGTTAATATGTTATGTCTTTGTGTTATATGTTTAATTATGTTTATTTAGACTTGTAATGAAGACCTAATTAAGTTTTAGTCTAAATATTTAAGAATATGGACAGTTCCTAGGTCACAAACTTTTCTTGCACTGTAAATGTATATTACTGTGTACAAATAGTTTGTTTTCACTACCATTATTTAACACTTTCTGAATTGAACCTGTTGTTCTGTTCTATTTAGTGTCTCTATTAACCTTACATGGAACAGAAGTAATGGTTATAATATGATTCGTCCTATCCAATTCTGAAATCTAAAAGTAGTGCAGTCACACAAAAACAAGTTAAAAATGTAAACATATGGAATATGACAATCATGTTTTAATATTTAAATGTTTGTTCTTTATTTTCATTTAACTATAATATTAAAGTAACTTTTTAAGACAGTTATGAAAAACATGTAAGACAAGTAAAACGTCACAGCTTGACCCAGGCAGAATAAAATGTATGGTAAGAGTGAAGCTAAATCTTAAGTGATATATTGAAGTCATCACATATTGACTCAATGATAAATCGGAATTAGCTGAAGATTATTTGTAATTAATGCCTACTGCATACCTGAAGCAGGTACAACATGAAGTGTCGCAGCTGAAATGTGATTTGACAAATTCGTTTTGATGGAAGATATGCCACACAATAGTAATAAAGATATAGATTAAAGGCATTCCTGAAATAATTATAATTAAGTATTTTAAATAAGTTAATTTTACATAGAATGTAAGGTAATCATTAAATGATAAATCATACAATATGCTTTGAATACTTAACATATAAAAACAATACCTCTCTTAGCAATGACAGGATGTTCAAATATTAATGCATGACAAGATTTCAATACACTTTTTGTGGCAATTAAAAAAAAAAGCATGCCATTAACTACTGCATTACTGTAAAACAACCATTAACAAATTAAGTGATAATTACCACAAAAAAATCCTTTTGAATTTTCTAAATATTGAAATAGTATATCTTCATCCATATCAACTGAGATAATTAATATAGTTATTTATTTTATCTGTTGTTGGCCAAACTTTTTGCCACAAATAAAATATCTCCAAATTAGAATGTAACAGATAATAAATAGTAAAAGGAAATGCTTAAGTTGCAGACTACAGTAGATAAGATATTTCATTACTGTATATTTATCTTCAAATAAAAAGTGATTTAAAAATAACAGGTGGAGCCTTGAGCTACATACTTTAGTCCAGATGGACTGCAACAGAACACCTCCACAGGGTACCAAGCAGTTTCTGAAGCACAGAGATGAATATTTCTTAAGGTGAATCTTCTCAAAAGGTAAAATACCACAAAAACTGCCATGAATGATGTATGAACTTATCCATGACTACTGAATGTTCTAAGGAATCTGTGATTATGGTATATTCACCGAAAAACATAAACAATATCAAATAGCCTACCTGTATTTATTGACTATAAGTAACTATAATAAATAACAAATCATTAAAATGGAAAGTAATTAATCTTATTATAATGTTCATTATATGAGCATTTGTTACTGTATGTACCCTTTCAGAAAAGATATATATATATACTGTAAATGTTCACACTATGCAATCTAGGAGTGATATTAAGCATAATTAAGCTGACATTTGGTGCTTACTACAGCAGATAGAGAAGAAGAGATTACTTATCCAAATAACAAATTAGTACACATACTGTATACTATAATGTTTTATTTTACCCATCTAGACCTATGGTAGTTAGTACTTAATTGTTCACATGATCTCATAGAATCATTTCTCAAAAGAAAACGGAAGATATTGGCCTCAATAACACAGTAGGGAGTATACATCTTAGCTGACAGAAGTGCCTCCTGTTCTGTATTTTAAAATAACTTTTGTCTAGGTTGTCTGCTTGTGCCCTCTGATCCATGTTTCAATGTTGATTCTGAAGAATTAAACTGAATTGGCTTCACAATATTCGAATATCAATTTTACAATCATGCAGCTTGTGATTCCAATTGCTTTTTATCACGTGTGGAGTTGTGGTTTTAACTAATCTATGGCTACATAATACTTCATTAAAAAATGAAATGAATACAAAATACAAAGAAATTAAAACAGCAGTAGAGCAGTGTGAGGTGTATGTAATTTAAAAGTGTATCCACCTTAAAATTAAACATACAGTTAAAACTACAAGACAGCCTGTGTTTTTTTTAGTGTTTTGTTCATTTATTTTTTTTAAAGTTGGATGTTTTAATAGTGACATTTCCATCTATAAAACTTCTCTTTTCTTTTCTTGTTTGCATATCCTGTGTATTTTGTGCCTTTTGTATACCTATTTCCAGGAGTATTTTTAAATACTTTCTTGGAATATATAAGTCTCTCCAAATATTTGCTTGAAACATACAGTATCTACTAAAATGTAGGGCACACAGGCACCTGGTCACATTTTGTTTGGCCACATATCATAATTAAAAAAAATGGAGGGGTACGGATGTGGGGAATCCTTCAGGTGCACACAGGCTTTTTGTAAATGAATAGACACCCCATATGAATATTACTGGTATTTCAGAACAACAGTAAGGGATATATGCACAAATTAAGCAAAGGACATGTAATGAAAATATTCTGATTTTGAGTGTTTCCCTTACAATTGCTGCTTAAAGATATTTTTACTTTTGTCTTCCCCCCACAATATTCCAGAAACTGCACTACAAAGACAAACCTAGCAAACATGCACATGAAAGATGCTTTAAACATTTAAAACTCATACACTTTACTTCACAACTTGGCTCAAACATGTATAAACTGTGACTAAGTAAACTGACGTTTACTTTGCTAAGGACATTTAAATTCATACATCATCAGTATAACGTTCAAGATTTAAGAATCTTTTCAAGTGCTCATAAATTTGAATAGCATGGAAGCTAAATCTCTGAATCTCGTTTATTGTAGGTATAAACTTGATCCCTTTTATCCTGCAAAAGAGTAGATGTTGAGAACCTTTTCTTGCAATCAGAAAACTACTAGTTTACAATTTATGACGTTATAGTGAGTATAAGATAAGTAAAGGGAGAAAAATTCATAGCATAGCATGAGAGTTCTGTCTGTGTTGTCACTGATATCTATTACACAATATAAGCACCCAATCATATTATAGATGTGTGTACCACACAGAAAAAGAGATGTTCAATGATTACTTACTTTCTGGCACAGTCTGGTAAACGGCATGAGGAAGTTCTGATACAGGGCGTGCAGAATGTAATGATTTTTTTTCTTTTTCACCTTCTTTACCTTTCTTCTTGGCAGCATCTTTCACATGAGATGTATCATAGTAAAAAATAAATTATAAGTACATGATGGCAAATGCTAGTGTATTTAGTATTACATATTAATTTACTTTGTGATCTTTTACATTTAAGATAATCTAGTCACCTTAATTACACAATTGTTTTTTCTATTAAAACAGCCTTAGGGAATTAGAGCATAAAGACATTGATAATTTTCTGGAAAAGAGAAGTCAACACAGCTTTTTAGCCTCTAAGGATGGGAGTAAATGATCTAAATTGTGGTGATTTAAATGCCATGGCTGGACATTTCTTTTACCCTTAATGTTTTTTTCACTGGTTGATTTATAGCTGTCAATTTGGAATGAATGTTTAAACTTACTGTTATAATACATGAAAGGTGCAGTATGAAATGGGAACGAGCCATGGGAGATCACTATTCTGAAACTTTATGGCAAGAATCAATAACTGTTTGGAATAATGTATCATGTGACATAAGGAATCACCACCTCTCCCCAGCAAATATTGCTGGTTTAGAATTAACAAACCTACTCCACTTTGATGCCATATACCAGAAATGTATGCATTTGCATGCTTCTTTTTACTGAGATTGTACTTTAATATTATCAAAATCAAATATAATCCTATCATACCACACTCATTCATGGAGGTTTGTCATGTTACTAAAAAAGTGAATTCAGATTTTTATATTCAGATTAGAACTCAGTACTGAAAGTAAACAACATACAAGAACTTTCAGAAGGAAACTTTATTGTAATTACTGTAGCTCCCAGCACAGAATGACTGATTTTTAAGTTTATTAGATAGTTAATTTCTACCAGCCCAGCTTTAATTTTGGTAATTTTGAACAAACTAGCCTAATTTTATACATTTAGCAAAAAGTAAAAGTAATATAATAATACCGCTCCTAAAATGGGGGATGATACACCTTATACTTACTTGTTGATTGATGTTAAATCAATGCTTTAGTATATATTTTTATAAAATGGTATATATTTAGTTACCTTTAATACTTTTGTCTGGAGTTTTACTGGCTGTTGGAGTTTCACTCTTAACCTCATTTGTTTTGTAATCTTTTCCTGCACGTGAGTCTGTCAATGGAGGTTTGCCTTCAGAAGCGTCATCTTCTGGCAATAGAAATTTCGGGACTGTTTCTTTCAGGAAATCCCAAATTTGATCAGAATATTCAGTCCTAGAAAAAAAATCAACATATAATAATAGTACAGTATATATATATATATTAATTAATAAATATTGATAATATTAATATATTCATTTTCTGATTTAAGCTAAAAGATGAGATTTGTAAGTTATTAAAGCAAACTCCACATAGTTTAAGATACAAAAGACAAAATTGTATCAACCATTTCAAAGGAAATTGTCTGAGAATGTCTCTTTTTGGAATGTTATTATCAAACTTATCTCTTGTAATCAGTTACATTGGCACATACTTTGCATAATCTGTCACACAACATTATAGTGTGTTAATACATCATCACCACTGTCATTAACAACAGAAGAATATCGTCACAATCAACTTTGTGCAAATGACTTAGCCTAAAGGAGCATGAGTAATGTCTTTTGTATACATGAGGTAGGTACTACACCCTGTGATTGAGCATTCCTGGGTTAAATGGATGTCAATTTCACCATTATTTTTCACCAAAAAGCTGAAATGAAAAACCTTTACAAACGTATTTTATTTTTCATGTGAAACTGCAGAATCATGTAGATGAGTTGTTGGCTAATCTTTAAACATTGAACAGAATACATTTACAATGTTTTAACAGTAACATTTGTAAATTATGTTGGTTTACTGTTACCATTGGTTGATCATTAAATATTAAAGCACAAAAACCCTGAAAGCTTTCAGCCTATCCTTACATTAAATACCTTTGAATTTAGAATTACACAGCAAATGGGATTTAAATGTTATAAGTATTGCATTTAAAGGTGAACTGTAGTCACAATTTCTCAGACCAGTTATTGAATCTTAGTAACAAAATAAATTAATTAACAGTATAGAACAATTGTACAAATTTGGAATTAAGCATAAAATGATGGACTTAAAGAGCATTAATTAAGTCACCATGTTGACACAATCCCCTGTTCTCACCACGGGCAAGAGTGAGAGTTCTGTGGGGGTAGTGTAGAGTTTTAAATATCGGGGAACACTTATTGACCAGAGGATGAGTTATACTGAGAACGTCGATTACATTTTTAAAAAATCAGTGGCTATTTTTAATTAAAAGATTAAAGAACTTTAATGCTAGTAAAAATGTCCTAGAGATGGAATATAAAAGACTCATTGAGAGCATTCTGGCATTTAACATGACTGTTTGGTAGGGAAACCTGGGGTTGAAAAGCAAAACCAAATTGTTCAAGACTGTGACACCGCAGCCCCAACTCAGCAATGTATATCATAATACAGTATTCAGAATGGCAAGGAACATCACAGCTGATTCCACCCATGCTCTCCATTCTCAATTCATTATTCACTATGTCATTAAGTCACAGTTCATAAAGTCTCCCATCAGAGAGATGGTATAGGGTACCAAATTCAAATAAAAACATTTATAAGAAGTCCTTTGTCACCTCTGCAATAACATTGCTAAATGAATGCATGTAAATGTAGCCCCCCCCCCCCCCCCGCTATCTTTTGGTTTATCCATTTATTTATGTATTACATACTGTTGTTGTGATTTCATGTACTTCATGTGATTTTATGTGACTATTATGTTTTGCTTGCATGTTTTGTACTTTTATGTGAGAAGCCTTACAAATTTCCTCAGACAATATAGTATCTATCATACTTCATCTCTTCTCACTTTTTATTCCTTGTGAGGGTCATGGCGGTAACAGGTTGAACATGACATACCAGACATCACTTTCCCCAGCAATAGTCTCAAGTTCCTCCTAGGGAATTCCCAGTGCTTCTAGCCCAGAGATGTAATCCCTCCCGCATGTCCTGAATCTGTCTGAGGGTCTCTTCCTAGTAAGCAGTGCCCTGGAGGCTTTCTCACCAGATGCCCAAACCACCTCAACTGGCTGGGAATGCCAAGCTGCACATCATGTCATGAAGAGTACACCCAGCAGCTTCACAGAGAAACCTCACTTCCGACGCTTGTACCTGCGATCTCATTCTTTCAGTCACTATCCAAAGCTTGTGACAACAGTGCTGAGTGCCCCAGGGAATCTACCTATGTTGTCATAGCTTTGCACTCCTGGTAAAGTTACCCTTGGTGAATTGGTCTAAGGTAAGGGGGCAAGACAAAGAATGATCCAAACTAGTTCCCAGTGATGGTTCCTTTAAGAACTGATAGAACGCTGGCCTGGATCAGGGACACTGGAACTCACCCCTGGAGCCAAACCTGGGAGTGATGTTTGCCAAGACTGGCACCCAGCCTCTTACCAGGCTTGGCTCTGTCTGAAATGGCTATGTGGAGCCGTCCTGTGTGCCCGTTAACCACAAGATAAAGGTTATTAAATCTTGGTAACAGAAAATTACAAAGGAGTGATGGTACTGTAGGTCATGGTGACGGGCATGAGCAGGATCATCATATTTGGCATGTACTGATAAGTAGTTATTTTTCATACTCACACTTTTTTGTATGTCATAGTTAAAATGTAATTAATTGTAATATCCTACAGTATGTGTCTCGACAGTGAGGTTACCATTCCATTCACATTTTTCAAATTATTTGCGGTTGCAGTTGTGACCAGCGTAGAATTGTTAGTGGTAAATCTGTTTTTTCAGCACTGTAAAAGCACTGTAAGACTTATTTTGAGTTCTTGTCAGTGGTATTGGAAAAGATACTTACTGAAGTGGAATAACTTCTGGAAGCCAACCAGTGAGGGCATGCAGGACTGTGAACTCCCCAAGTTCCCTTTTTTGACACAGGTGCACTCTGTGAATGAAATAGCTAAATCATTAAAAAAGGAACAAAAGTTTTTGACACTTTGGTAACATAGCAGCATTGAAATCTGTAAAATTATCTCAGAGAAAAAACACGTTTCTGTAAACAGATGGCATTGATGGAACCCTCTCATATATTGTAAGGCACAACAATATAATTTTGGAGGAATATCAGTTTTAGATTATTCTAAAGTTTCATTGCCAAAAGTATTAAAACTTTCACTGAAAACATCTCTTACCTTTAACTTAAAAGACTTATCCCCTTTAATTGTACATACTACTTAATGTATTTGGGGCATTTTAATGCAAGGTACTACAATATCTCTAACAGAAAGGAGGATATAAATCTATAGGCCAGGGCAGACTACCTGTGCCTAAAGAGTTGGCTCATTTTGTTTCATTCGTCACAGCTACTATCTTAACTATTCAGTTTCTCAAGTGCTGCCAAAGATTTAGTTGATCATGTGGTCTGGTCATTTGTCCTGATCTTGTCACAGAGACTCCTTATGTGCTTTGAGAAGTTGTTTGAACAATTCTAAGGTCTGACCTATATCTGCATACATTCCTGCTAATCTTCTGCTAAGTTATAAAATTCAATATGCACAAACTGTGGTTTATTGTCTGTGATCAGTGTCTCTGGACTACCAAATATGACAAAGATGTTTCTAAGCTTCTTGATCATTGTGGTTAATGTAAGATTCGTAAGTTCAAAGAACCAGGAGCAGCAATCCCCTTGTATAATGATTTCCAATTAATCAATGAAAAATATCAACTTTAACTGGTCATCTATCGACTAGATCATGACCAGTCATCTATCGACTAGAACCCGTCCTCCGGCGTCACTCAACAGGGACCCAGCCAGTTGGGCTAAAGGGAAATCTCCCCTCAGCCTGGCGTCTGAGGACCCTGCTATCCACAGGGAAGGGGAGTGACGTCACTGTGCTGGTAAGCCGGCTCGCACAACCTGTAATGTTGGCCGTATGCGTTACACTCTCCCCCACATAATTCGCCGTCCTCGGCAAAGGGCTATCCCATCCCATTGCTGACACCAATGTAGCGCTCTCGGGTTCACGTGGGTATGCAACCTCGCGACTGCCGCCTCAGGTCGGCCCCCCACCGCTGGGGACTCAAACCCAGGCCTCCAGCTTCACTCAATAGGGACCCAGCCAGTTGAGCTAAAGGGAAATCTCCCATCAGCCTGGCGGCAGTGGTCCCTGCTATCCACAGGGAAGGACGGTGATGTCATCACGCTGGTAAGCCAGCTTGCACAACTTGTAATGTCAGCCGTATGCGTTACAATACTGTAATTGTTTGCCAGTATAAGAGTAGAAATTCTGGCACTCTCCAATTGGTCACTGACCATCCCCAGTCTAATCTCTTCTCTTTAGCTGCTTATAGGACTAGTCTGTTATCCGTGCCTCCCAAAGCTGTTGAATCACAAGAATGTGCTCCAAAATGAAGTCAACCTATAGAGTTTTTATGTGTTTTATGTTAGTGTTAACATTAACTGTAAAATGGTTCACTTGACAGCCTGTCTACATGAGGTTTTTCCAGGAACACACAGGACTCAAAGTTGTAATTGAATCTAAACAAAGCATCATCTGAAAACGTTGTCTGGCTTCTTTGGCATCTATGGCTGTATTGCAGAAGAACTGCAGGTGAACGTAACTTTCCTTTATAGTGTCAGCTAAGGTTTTTGTCTGCTGGTCACCCAAATCAAGCTACAGTACAGGCATTTTGTCAGGAGATATTGGAAAGCGTTATTGATACTTCACTGGTGTCTTGAATTATTCTCTGAATGATTCACCAAGCTCATAAAATGTGGAACATCAGCAACATTTTATGGTTTAAAAATATCCACAAATGCCTTAAGCTTTTATGGGTTGGCTTCAAAGCTTTGAACACGTTCATAAAGTCCTAGGAAATTTAACTGTTTTGCTACAAACATTTGTGATTTATAGTTAACCTGCTTTTCTGAAGTGTTATCATGTTCTTTTCTATCATTGTGTAGTGGCGATGCTTGTTAATAAGACAGAATTAAGTGTTGCTGTGCTTTCCTAAATGAGGCCCCATCTCTCCCTTCATCTCTGTGGTGCAGCCACAGAGAAGCTGTTCATGCAGGCTGATTTAAAGATGTTTTCTTTTGATAAGGGACAGCTCCCAAATGGGGATGCACTTAGCTAAGCCTGGCTATCATAATCAATGGTCATCCATTGGCGCCTATCTGTCTAGGGAGTGCCAGATGGACATCTGGACTGCATTCCTAGGTGTCAGGAGTAAGTGACTCATATCTCACCTTGATCAACCAATCAGGGACTGGTAGGGCCGAGTAACCCACGTGGGTCTCTGATGCCCGTGACACTTTCAGCCAATGAACAACCTGCAGTTCCTCCAGGTAAAAACAGGCAACACAGAGAGCCTGTAAGAGAACTATTCGTGAAGAAATTCCAGTAGGAGAATTCTAAGGAGAATTCCAGGGCAGGACGGCCCAGGAGCAGAAAGGCTCCCAAGGGCAGGACATTCTCGCAGCGCGCCTCCTGACCATCCTGAGACTCAGCCCGGACAACCACGGAACGGCCAGTGTGTCCAAGTGCCAGAACTTTCCTCTGTTCTAAGAGTCTAGAGCGGAGGCTTCCAGAGAGTAACCAGAGGATCCACCTGAGGTTAGCACCAGCAGCAAGCCTCGTGAACAAGTTGGAACTGTGGACAGCTGAATCACTATTCAGAACTAGCGCTTCATCAGGAACGAACCGGTCCTCTTCCTGACCTGCTGGGATCCACAGTCATCTTTTCTCCTGTGCACAAACTCTTGCTAGTTTCAGCCAACACTAACTTGCGAGTCTTCAGAGAGCATCAGCAGCGCACCGTCTCAAGCCGCACAGCACAGCCTGGCACGGTGCCAGAGTCCCCAGAGATTGGATGAGTATTCAACTTCAATGCATTTCAGCTCGAGAATTCCATTGTTATCCCAACCAGTTGATATCAATTTAATTCCTAAGAGTTATGTACTTGTTTTGAGTATCTAATGTAGAAGTTATAACCAAGTTCATTTACGAAACGGTCTAAATGAATGATATACTGAACTTATGTCCTCTTGATATATGTAACTCTTCTTAACTGACTGAATATATACCTTTTGTATTCTGATAACCCTCTCGATAAGATCTGTTAGGTTTACATGCATATTCTATGTATTAATACATGAGGATACATGTATTAATAAATGTATCCTCATGTATTAGTACCTGTGTGTGTGCGTTGTTTGAGTTATATCGCATGGTTGGATTCTAAAGCTATTGAAATAATCATTTTGTGATTTACTGCTACAATTAATAATTGTCCCAGTAAATGCCCAAACCCTACAGAACTGGTGCCTCATGAGAGCACTCTACAATTGACAAAGAATAAGATACCATTTGTTACTTTTCCCTCCCAGCAGGGCAAAATCCTTTGCTGAAACTGTTCTCAAAAAGTGTAATGAATGAGAAGAGCTTAGTATTTGTACAGGGTACCTGTTAAAAGTAGCAGACAATTTTGAAAATATTGTAATTCCTCCTAATTATGCCAGATTCTGATCTACTCCTGGCAGAATATGTCCTTTTTAGCAAAAAGAATTACATTCAACTGGTGGCATGCCAAAGACTATGAAGATTATGACAGTAGTGTACGTGTCAACCAGGTGAATATGTATCGGTAGTTGTATGCATTATAAGGCTGGGTGTCCTAAAATATTTAGTAGCCCTTCTATTTCCCTGTTAATTTGATTTATGTCTTTTCTAGGACATAAATATTGATTGTCCATTTAACTGCCATTATAAATTGTGAAGATTTTTAAATAAAACTCAATTACTATAACTCAGTTACGCATGAACTGTAAATGCATGTGTTTTGTTTAGGTGAATGGGATGTTGCCATTTACAGCTAATACAAAGAGGATTATTCCCTCAGCTTCCAAGTAAACAAATCACCAGTGTGAAATAGTGCATCTTTTTCATGTACTATAATAACTGAGCATAATTTATAAATCCCATATGTACCATGAATCTGACAAAGTATACAAAAACATGGAAGACTTTCTATCAAAAAGAAACATCATGTTACCAAAAATGCATCAGTTTACTTATTCTGTGTGTGATGATGTTGTCCCCATGCAATGCTCAAGGGAGACAATCTTACAAAAATGTGCCCCTGTGTAAACAACAGAGGCAGATTTCACATGAATATTAAAAAAGAAATCTTCCACAGAGTGATTGCTAATAAATTCCCAAATCAAGATAAAAGCATCATTTGTGATGTTAAACTATATTGCCAGACAAGACTTGACCTCCTATGCATTCCAATTTTCAAATTTTATCCTTGTATGCATTATTGAACCTATTATTATTGTTATTTTTATCCATACTTGTCATAAACCACACCTTTTTTTATTTAAATTATTAAATCCCAAACTATGCATTTGTACTAACATTAAATCATAAACTTTTCAACATATCAACATTCATCTATTTTTATACAGCATTGTACTAGTGCTATATATTTTCTGCTTTTTAGGTATTGATGAATTTAACTATGTATATATATCAAACTTTCATGCTACATCAAGTGAGGTGTAGTACAAATAAGTGAAGAATAGTGTAGGACGAATCTTAGGAAAAAGTGACCTAACTTTTCTATCATAAATACAAAATCATACAAAATATTTATTTTTTCAGTATAATCATGTCCTCTGCTCAATGCAGATGATTACCGTCAGGGTTTCTGAAAGAGGTGAGCTGATGGATGCCTGTGTGAAGCCATGAGGAAGGGAATTCGAGCAAAAGTTAATTTAATATTCTAAATCCAAGTCATTAGGCAAGAGAGAAGTCGAAACTAGGTCGATAGTCAAAGGAGTCGGGTTAAGAATAATAGCACGCGCACAAGAGAAAGCTGTTGAAGACTTCTCAATAGTGAGCGTAGGTAAGCTGGTGAAGAGTGTCTAAATATTAAAAAGAGAGAGACGTGGTTGGATAATTAGTTCCTGGATGTGTGTGGATTCTAGTATGCGTGGGAATATCAGGGCATTTATGAGAGAAGGTACGAGTCGTGAAAGTTACATCCTTCAGCTTATCTCTTCATGAAGCTGTTACAGTATGTTATGTTTGAAGGCTTTATAATCATCATTTTATTTTAAGGTTATAATAAACACATAAATAATTAAAGCAACAGAGGCTGTACTTTCTGCCAGGAAAAACTACTGAATTATGCAAGGCATAAAAAATATATCAAATAAAATTTTAGGTTTACGTTGGTTCTATTATTTATCTACCAGTAGTACAGCTCTTAAGCTTTCCTTTTTCTTTACTATTTTCACATCAAAAGGGCTTGTATTCAATGTTTTTTGTTGCACATGAACATTTTCTGAAAACACAGTATCTGTAAACATCTGCAGGTCAGGCCTTAACAAAGTCAGGAAGTCAGGAATGAAATGAATACCCCTTACAGTTTATAAAAAATAAACTGGACTTACTTTTTTATTTGTGTATTTCATATGTAAAGACAGATACCAGTTAATGTTTTCAAAGCTAAATAATATAAATTTAAATATAGAGTACTGCATATGTGCCTTTTGTTTAGAATTTTATTACAATTTTTATTTAGTTCAAACAATAGTTTTTCTCAGTTGTTTTGAATTTATACTATGATATAAATGATATAAAATGTAAGCATCATCAGCCATATTATATTGCCAATATTAATAGGCCTAAAGAAACTAACAAATTCAAAAAATGATTTATTGAACCCCTTAAATGGGACACGCTTTCTACACTTTACAGTATAAAGCTTGTAGTAAACAAAACTATATATCTTGCAAGTTCTGACTGTGCTTACAGGATCATCTTCCCCCAATGAATTATAGATTATACAGTATGCAGATAATTTTTAATGGCTATGAGACTTGAACAACAATACGTAAATGATAATTAGTGGGTGACACTAAAATATAAAAAGAAGTAAATCAGTAATTTTTGCATTCATTTCTAATATGCTGCTAAAACCCTTCCATTTGGAATGTTTTAAATGTTTTATAGGTCATTTCAGTGGCTGAAACCTTTGCTTTAGTAAGTCAAAATAATTTTAGAGTGAAGGATTTTACAACCTTTAACATTTATATTGAAATAATCATCATTTCAATTCATCATTGAAATGATTCCCTTTTATTTGCAAAAACATCAGTCATCTTTGATTGTTTAAATTAATTACTTATTAATCAATTACCCTGCAACTCACAACTGGCAACCCACTGAAGCTAAGC